TTAAATAAATTTTATATTTAGAACATGCATTCATATGTCATGAATATAATTGATCAACCATTTTTTTATCGTATTTGCAAATTCGGTTTGAGTTGAATTTTAGGTTGATTTGTGAATTATTTGAGCAATTTCACCTAATTTTGAAATGCATATGTAGAGAACCTTAAAATGTTGAAATTACATGAAAAAATAAAAATAAAATGGCAAAAGAAAGTGTATTCATTAAAGAAGCATAATTTGTGTTGATCTAGACATGGTTGTGGCTAGAAGAATAAAGGCAACACAACAATTTAGAACTAATAACATATGTGCTTTGTGTTTCGGATGTAAGCATGACATTGCTAGACAAGCTCATGTCGACTACCATAAATAAATAAGGTTGATCAAATTATAACTCATCTTTTGGACTCCATAATTTTTTCGAGACTCTACAGACACACTCTCCCTTTGGCACTCAAGATTAAAAAGGTCAACACCTTGAATCAAATAAGAACTGGTTAGCCTTGATTAAGGAATCTTGAGCAAAGCACCTCATCTCCCACGCCCTAGTCTTTACTCACCAACTATACTATTAGAGAACGCATAATAGTAGCAACAACAACCCTTCAAGTCCCTCATCCCCATCATGGAAATCATCATGTCTTTGGTGATGGGTTCTTCGTCCTTCATTCTTTGGCCCTTTATGTGTGTGCTAGGGGGTTCAAGCTCTTCATGTGTGTGTTGGGTTTTGGTTTTGACTATGTTTGAACTTTCTCTTTGTTTTGTTTCTTTTGGTGGTTCGCACATGATGGTGTTGGTGGTTGGTGAGGTTCCAATATTGAAGCGATGGAGATCCAATGATGGAGGTGTAATGCAAAGGTTGGACAAATAGGGAGCACAAGGGTTGGGGAAGGGAATGATGTTTTGTCAAGGAGAACGTATGGTGTAAGACAATGTTGGTGGCAAAAGCGTGCTTTGTGTAGAAACAATGGTGTTTAGGTTCAATGCTTGGAATCATACGGAACTTAGCATTTTTGTGTGTGAGACGTAGAGAGTGATAGTAACAAACATAAAACATAAGTAAAATCCATTAGAACCAGATTGGTTGGGTCTCTTTACACTACTTCATAAACTCATGGTAGTGCACTTCAGCTTGGGAGGTCTACACATACAAAATTAGTTGTTCAATAACTAATTTTGTATGCTACTTTTTAAATCATTCAAAAACTAATTTCAAAAGTCCATCCTTACAACATTGGCAAGAACAAAATCGATTATACAATCGATTCCTTAGTCCAAAATAGTCGATTTAAAATCCTTTTTCCCACTAGTGTCTCTAGGCTCTTACATCTAACATGGTTGAGGCCACGCCTAGCATTCAAACTTCATAAACATAAATGTTAAATGGAACCTAACGAGAATAGTCACATTAGGCGCCAAAAACTTTAGTGACTCATTGGAATAGCCATGCACAATGCCATTGAGAGAAAGAATCATAAGGTTCCCAAGAGATGACAATTTCGTGACATCTATAGAAATTACAAACCACACCCTCTTCCAATGTTTCTCAAGCCCACATGAATTAAAATCTAAATTAGCAATTCTAACTCATCCCTAACTCAATTATTCAATTAATTTTATTAATAATCTGTTATATTTGATTTTAGGATTCCTAAGGGTTCTCACATATAACCCCAATTTTGTCATCTAGGGTTAAACCAAAACCCCCAAAATCTCAATTATTTACCAAAGTCATAGAACATCATCAATTTAATAATATCAATCAAGCCAACAAAAACTTACACTAGAAGCAATCTCACATCACATTTTTAGTGTATTGATAACCACTTCAAGATTCACACAAATACAAAGGGGTTGAGGTATAATTTCCTACCTACAAATTACCCCACATTCATGAGCGAGATAGGTTCACTTTTCCCTTACTTTCAAAAAGTTCTATCGAAAGCAAGGGTCCAATGGTGTGATACTCTCCTTCAACTTCAAGATCCTCTCTATAGGATTTTGATAGCATAACGTATTTTAGAAAGCAAGAAGAAGGAAGAGTGTTTATCAAATATAAAGTGTGTGTGTGTGTGTATTATTTGGAACTTGGAAGTCACATTACCTTATTATTATTTAGTAACATTTGGAAATTATGTGTAAAAGGAAAAAAAAAAAAAAAGAAGGAGAACTTTGTTGATTCTATCTTCTTTTTTTAGTGCATGTTTGGTAATATGATTTTAATTTTTTAGTGCATATTTGGTAATTTAATTATATCTTTATTTTTAGTGCATGTTTTGTAATTTGATTTTAATTCAGTAAACTAATTTTAATTTTATTTCAAAGAAATAAAGGAAATTTCAATGGGACAAAATGAGCCAACAACTAAGATCATAACTTTAACAGAGATGAAGAATTAGGAACAAAAATATCTACTGAAGATTTACTTTGTATATCAAATTTACTTTTGTGCATAAAATTTATGAATATTGTCAAATGAAATTATTTAGTTTTTAAAAGAGGAGTTTTGATTTATTTTTACCTTTTATTTATATTTAAATAAAACATAGATCGCTCATATAGGATTATTTTAACACATAATTGGGCACACATGATTTGTAACAACTTTTATACCAAATGTCAAACAAAAATATTGGGTATACTCCAAACATTTCAATTTTTAAAAAAATAAAATATAGCATTAACGAAGGTTTGTAATCACAAGAAATGTGTATGATAGTAATGGGGGTTATTAAACCCCTATAAAATACTTGAAATCCTTCTTAATTTTCAAGGGTTTCAAAACCACAAGTAATTACTTGGGATTTGAAACTGTTGGTAGTTTTTATGTTTTCAAAGGTTGTTGAAAACTAACGGTAACATGTTAGGCGTGAATGCTTTCTCAGTGGAAATAGTGATCGTAGGTAATGCATTTTACAAGGTTTAACCCTCGATAAAGTAAAAAAATAATAATAATAACCCTCATTAAAATCATTTTGCTCGTAGTGTTGAGTTATATTTGCTTAATTTAATTATAGTTATGACACTTTCTACCCTACATATCATAACATATAAATAAAATATAACTAAATAACATCATGTCTTATAAATAAAACCAAACTCTTTCAAGTAGGAATCACATTGTTAACATGTCTACAAAATGGGAAAATAATTGAAATTACAAGAATTAAAAAGAAACCTACGTTAAGGTTAGGGGCCTAAAAATTGACTAATAAGGCTTATCCTTATTCCTAGGAATAAGTATTATCAGTATTTTACCTAGATCGTAATTTTAAAAGGGTTTCCCAACTTTAGTTAAAATTATAAAATCATGCAAGCATTAAGTATAAAGTATAAAAATGATTAACTGAATAAAAATAATGTATTGAATGAGAACAGGGAAGATTACACAGGTACAACTTAATCACTCATGACTAAGAATTACACAATAGAAGAGGGAACTTTGAGCGATCCGTGATGACAAGAACGACCTAACATGATCTTTCTCTTATCTCTCTAAAATTATGCTCATAGAAAGTAGTCATATAGAGACCTTTTAGAGACCCTATTTTATAATATTATCTAATGGACTTTTAGGTTAGATATGCTTACTTATTAGAGGGTGTTCAATTGGTCTTTTAAGCGATGGTTTTCCTTTGAGACTTATAACTTCCAAATTAGTTTTTCCTTGTGTTATATCTCAACAAAGAAAAATATTAAAATATCTAATATTTAAACAATTCAATCTTAAAATAAAACTAATTTTTGCCTAAGTGTTTTGTGACCAAAAACAAGATTTAGAAGCATAAGATATATTAATAATTGCTTTAATTGAATAAAAAATTGTATGCATATTTGGCAATTATCAAAAACTAACTCCGTCTATAAAATATTTTCACCATATAATAGTTTTTAAGTAAAAACTCAAATAATCACTTCATTAATTTTCTAAAACTTTTAACTAATTAAATTATGTATTTAATTTTATCTTCTAAAAATTGGGGTATTGCAAGTTTGAGTTCATCTAAACACGGTCGTGCTTTTCTCCTAAATATGTAACTATGATTTTGAGCACATTTGTCCTTAGTTCTAAACAATCATGTTGCTTTGCTCTTTTAACAGTCATGCTTAGTTCAGCACAATTGTGCTTCTTCAATGGGCACACTTTTCACCTTTTTGTGTTTTTCTTGTAAGTTTATCATTTTAAGATCCTGTACACATACATTTCAAAATTAGGTCAAATTATTCAAATGATTCACAAATCAAGCTAAAAATTCAACTTTAACCCAATCTATAAATATTATAAAATATATTTTGATCAACTTTATTCATGATATATGAGTGCATATCCTAAATATAAAATTTATTTTTTAGCTAAAAATGTATAATATTATTAGTAAATCTTATATTTTTTTCATAGGAACAAGTTTTATCTTACCAAAATTAATTTATATTTTTTTGGAATATATTAACTTTTTTTTTATTTTCCATACCACCAAGCGTGTGAAACAACTAGCATGACTTAACCAGTTTCTCAAGCTCTAACTATATCAAATATTTAGAGAGAGAACCTTGTCACATATAGTAAAATTGCCTCTAGGAAAGAATACATGTGGTATAAACCCAAAAAAATTGTACTTTTTATAGAAATAGTTTAATGCTTTATCACACCAAAACTAATTTTTATTTTTATTTTTGGTATATATTAACTTATATTTTCTAATTTTATAGAATCATTTAAAATTAAATAAATCTCATTAAACTTGCAATGAATTAATTAGTTACAGATTCATCTATGAATCTAAAGAACAATGCTTAATGACTACTATTTATGCCAAATAAGCTAATGTATATTGAATAATCTTAATTAGAAAAAAAGTATATCACTTACCATTTAGGAAAGAACAAACTATGGGCCAGGATTGATATATAGTAGTAATTCAAGTTCATGGATCAAGTGATTCTAGACTCATTCACATTTCTAGCAATATATATAAAGTACACACATTTTATTTTTTTCTCATTCGCTTGATCTTCACATAAAATTTTAATCTTATTTTCCAAGTTTCTTTTTTTCGTCAAATTGCTAGTTTTCCCTTCTCTGTATTGTTTGAATGGAACATAGGTATGTGAAACTGCTAGTTTTGGCTACTTTGTATTGTTTAAATGGAACATGGGTCTAATGATAAGTGTGTGTTTTCACACGTGGTGTTGATTTTTGTATAGTTATGTTCAATTTAACCAATATTGACTTTGAAATGGGTTATTTTGTGGGATTATGGGTTAAAAGAAATGGATATGGTAGCTAGGGTATGTCGAAAATAATTTGATTTGTTTAAGTTGTATGTGTGAATCATACCAACCAAGTAATATGAGTAGTGATGTAAATTACTTTATTGATTCTCTTAGAATATATTCATAGATGGAAGCACTTCATGATATGTGTGGGCTTTATTGTTTCCACATGAGGAATAAGGATATTTTAAATTTTAGGAAGTTTGGCCATTGATTAATTGAACTAGAGGAACATTTGATATTATTTAGAGATTAGCTAACATGTTATGATTATTAATATTCAAGGTATTCAAATGTGTGTTTGTATTTTGTATATGAAGCAATGGAATTGGTGCTGGTGGCAGAACAACTATTTCCAAGAAATTGACTATCAAAGATGCTTTATTATATTTGAAGGAAGTCAAAGACATCTTTCAAGACCAAGAAGAAAAGTATGAAATGTTCCTTGGCATCATGAAAGATTTCAAGGCTCGAAGGTAGAGTTTTACTTTCTCTCTTTTTACATTAAGTGGTGATTTTGAGAAGTGAGTGTCAAACTTGTACATAAAGAATCAATTTGTCTTAATACATATTTTTTTTTTCAGGATTGACACTAATGGTGTTATAGAAAGGGTGAAGGGGTTATTCAAAGGGCATAACAATTTGATTTTGGGATTTAACACTTTCCTACCAAAGGGTTATGAGATAACAGTTGATCAAGATAGACAATTTTTGGCTTAGGGAATTTATAACATCTCCACCTTGTGATGATGTTCTTGAAAAGGTTGTAGAAGATAGAAAGTTATCATTAAAAAGGCTATCTAGAAGGGTGATGGCCCATGACCTAGAGTTAAAAGGGGCAAAAAAAATAATAAAAAGTTTGTATAGTTATCCAACAATTTTTTGTATGGTTTTATGTTGTTTTCATAAATGGATTGAAAGTTGTTGGGTTTCTTTTTTGACGTACTACATTCAAAAGTTCATGTTAAAATGAATTTTCAACTCATTGTGTAACATATCAATATGCAATGAACCTATGTGAATCTTAGCTACTGATTTCCTTAAGCAAAACTTCACATTTCCTTCACTTTCTTTGTGTAAACTTGAAGATTGTGGTTTTGCTTTTAACATTAATAAAGGAGTTTATTTTTTATCTTTCAATTTTGTTGGAAAAATGATCAAATGTGAGGGTTTATACTATTTGAATCTTGATTCAAATATTTTTAATTTTTTGCATGTTAAAATGGTTGGAACCGAAAAATCCTTAATTAAAGAAAATTCTTTTTCTTAATTAAAGAAAACCTTAAATCCTAATCAAAAGATGAGATCTTACCTCTTCTAGATTCTACAGATCTTGAAGAATGGGTAGATTGCATAAGAGGAGAATTAACCGAGATAAATAGTAAAGATTTTACACATAATAAAGATCTTTTAGATATAATTTTCATAGTCATTTGTGGGCATTTAAAACCAACATTATGTAGGAACAATTATTTTATAACTTTTATTGATGAATTTTCCTTGTTTTAGTTATGTCTACCAAATAAATGAATAATCTTTGTCATCGAAAAAAAATTAAACTTTTAAGACTAAGTTAGAAAATCAATGCGATAAAAGAATAAAAATTGTAAGGTCAAATCAAGATAGTGAGTTTTATGATAGGCATGGTGAGACTGTCCCAATTAAAGGGACATTTTGCTAAATATCTTGAGGAATGTGAAACATTTTCACAATTTACAATACCAAGAACTCCTGAATAATTAAAATGGGGTGGCTGAGAGGAGAAACCTCACTTTAATGGATAAGTTAAGGTCTATGGTGAGTCAAATTATGTTACCTAATTCTCTTTGGAGAAAAACACTTAAAACAACCATGTATATCCTAAAAAAGTACCTTCTAAATTGGTGCCCAAAGCATCATTTGAGCTTTTTAAAGTGTGGAAACTTAACCATAACCATTTTTTGTGTATGGGGTTGTGTTACTGAAGTTAAAATTTATGACCCCATGGCATCAAAATTAAGTTCTAAAACCATTAGATGTTATTTTATTGATTATTTCATCAATGTTAAAGGTTACAAATTCAACTGTCCCGCTTATGGAGTAAAATTTATTAAGGCAATCACTGCCAAATTTTTAGAAAATGATATGGTTGATTTTGAAATCTCTATTAATGATGAGCAAGTTCTAGTAGAGAGCATCTTATTGTGCAAGTTCCAATTGTTCAAAAACAAGTTGTTTATCAATCAACTGAGAGTGCAATTAGAGTACTACAATAAAAAGTTTTGCAATTTATGGCTAGGTAGTCACACACAACAAAATAACTTATATACATTCATAACTAATGTCAAGATACAACAATAAGTATGCCATACATTTTGGTATTTATCACATTCATAGTTTACAATCACCCAAGATATATAGAATGATTATGTTATAACAATGCAATGGACAATACTCTCTTAAACTACATGCATGTAGTGTCAATAAACTCAATTGTCAACTATCAACATTTATTCAAATGTCGAGTAGCCTAGGAGGGCATATTAGATCATAGTCATCACAACACTCTATATTAGGAGGAGATACATATAATCTCCTTGATGAGATTAGTTGTGTTTTATTAGGAAGACATAATGTAGGATCCATACACAATAGCATGAAAAGATCACATGAATTATGTTATGATGTATACATGTATTTCAAACTTATGTTATGATCATGCTAATGAGATTGTTAGTTATGTGTTCATTGATAAATAAGACTTTAAATTGTTTATCTTTATCATGAATTTTGGTTTGTGATTTTATTGGTGGTATCAGTCATGTTTTAGTCATATTCAAGTTGTCTTGTAACCACAATTATTCAACACAAGAGTTGTTTTCAACATAAATAAAACCCAATCAATATTATCATGGTGGGTGAATGTTAAAAATTGTATTTATTTGGATATTACTTTATTTATATATATTAATATAGGCATTGTGCATGTTTATAGTAGGCCATTAAAAAAATTATGTTCACTAAAACATATTGTAGACAATATTACTATAGGTCTAATGTTTTCTACTAGACTTATTTAAATTTATTTGGATTTAAATATCTGCTTGGTAGAGTTTTTGTGATTTTTAAGATTTGGGTCTCCTTTTTATATATGAGAAGGAGGAGAAGCATAAATTTATTGTAGACAATGTGAGATTTTTTAATACATTTACTAAAACATGTAGTAAGCAATATTTAGTTTTTTTTTCAATTTTGTTATTTTTTCTTAAATAAATTAGTGTACATAGCTTAAGTTAATATATTTAATTTTTAATAGAGATTTATCATTTCATACTTATTAGAAATAAAATTAATTCAAATAAAATATTTTTTTAAAAAAAATTGCTAGTTAACCAACTAACTAGTAGACAAAGTCGAATATTTTTTTAATCAAATCTTCTATTTAGATATACAACTTATTTTGATGGGTCAAAAACGGAGTGAGGACTTTTTAAATAGTGCCAATATCCAGTAAATAGAAGTATCTAACAAGGGAAGTGAAAATGTTTTAAATGGACTTCTCACACCAAGTCAACAACCTAAAACTTAAGAGAATACTTGTAAAAAAAAAACATCTAAAACAGAAGCATGCATATGTATTGAAAAGAATTAAAATATCATAAATTATTTAGCTGACGTTTTTTAAAGTTTCTTTATAAAAATATAAATAATTAATTAATTAAAAATCTCAAAAAAAAAATTAAATTTGTACCAAAAAGCCTCTAAATAAAGACATCATCTGAAACCATTGCTAATGCAAACCCTGCTAGGATTATCATTTTTTGGTTTAGACCAATTTTTTTGCCATTTCTTTTTTCTTCTTCGAGAGCACTGCTTCTTCTAGGGTGGTATGTGTTTTTCTTAGAAAGCATGCACCACCTGATGCAAAATGCCTTTTAAAGGATAAATGGGCCCTTAAACCCAAAACACCACCATTTTTATTTCTTTCAAGTTCAGTAGGCCCAATTGCATTGATGACCCACTTGACAGTAATCAAGGCCAGAAACAGATTCAATAATATCTTATTCAGCACAGCCTTTTCTTTCTTAAAGGATGCCTAATAGATCTTGTTAAAAAAAAAAATGCCTAATAGATCTCAATACGATATTAGGTGTCTAAAGGATACATGATATATGAAGCCCAGAAACACATTCAAGATTAGTCATTCGTTTAGTTTATTCACAAAAAGAAATTATAAAAACAAAATTAAAAGCTTAAAAATTTCCAAATTAAAAAGTTACTTCAAATATCATTTGTTCAAGACGAGTAAAGTGTAACACCCTATACTCCGACATAATACACAATAATTGTAAGATAAAATTAGAATGAATAAAAACTTTCTCAATTAGCAAATAGGTAAAAGATTCACATTCACATACATAATCATAGTTCACTTGTAGAAATTACAAAAGAAATAAAGTTAAAGGTTTTTTCAAACAAAGAAAGAAACTAAAGTCCTAAACTAGTCCTAACCATACTTCGATGTCACATATCATATCAGAGCACTCCCAATTGAATCCTAAGCCTCATCACCAATATCCTCATACTGATGATTACCTGCAACACAATAAAAATACACATAGAGCAAATAGGGGAGTGAGAAACATCTCACTCGATTTCAGGTGTAAAAATAACAGTTAGGTGACACACACACAAATCATAACAAGCACATCCATAGCTACACATTAATCAGGTGCAAATTCAAATTATACATACAACATTAATACATACACAATCATTCATCATGCAATGATGTCATGGACTCGACTCATAAATGCATGCATGTGGCGCTAGTCACGTGTCTCATAATCACATATCACGTGGTATGCTGCCGAAGCAACATACCTGGAGTAGTTTAGGAGTACATGTCGGCTCAACCGTGCACTCTCAAGATGTACTGCTAGGGTCTCGTCGGGATAGTGAAGTCACACAAGATACGTCCCATGCACACAAACGAGCAGAATTGGGCCTTCCAAACCGCATTATCCCCTAAGACTCCTCCAAGATATTTTACACTTGGAAGGTCTTCCCTAACGATGTATTCCATATCGTACCCCGTCACATAAATGCATATGATGTATGTCACACATTCACAAACTCATGGACTCAACATTTTATTTGTCAAGAAATTTCATGTCTCATGTCACTTGTTCACATTTCACATTTCAGATTTCTCATAATCATGCTCATAAGATCATCATTTGAAGATTCATATCCTTATCATGCTCAAAAAACACATCACATACGCTAACACAGTACTAAGGTAATTTCCACACAATTTGCACCTTCAAACAAGACATAAAACATATAAAACATCACAGGGGTCACGCTCAGCGCGCCCCAACTCACGCCCGGGGCATTAGATGTCGCACCAAAAGCGAAGCATTACGCCCGACACGTCCTAAGTGCGCCCAGCGAATTTAATGTCGTGCCTAAAGCAGAGAATTATACCCGGCGTAGCTTCACACGAGTTCGGCGTGACTTTCCTGTGCCCAGCGCAACTTTCCTAAGCCCAACTCAATTTTCCTGGGAACTATTAATTTGTGCCCGACGCGAAGAACTGCGCCCAGCGCCCTTAGTGCGAACCTACACTTCGCAATTAGACGATTTTTTCACAACAAACATGTAATCATATAAAGAAACTAGTAAAAATCCTCCAAATAACACCTAGAACATAAATTCATACTCAATTTTATATAAACTACCTCAAATCTTGTCAAAAGATCATACCCTAATTGTTTCTCATAGGGTTTCCCATAGGAACCCACAGAACATTTTAATTCATATCAAAACTTATCTAATTTCGAAATTAAACACATATTCACGCATCACATCCAATTAGAAACCCAACAGAAAACTCAGATATTAAAACATAAAACTTTTACAATTTGCTTGTTCCTAAAGCATGCATCAGGCAAGGGATCAGGGTCATGCTACCCAACAATTATTCCCACATCCTGTGACACCCTTACTACCCCAACACATATATTGTAATAATGAAAACTTAATAATAATTTTTTTTTTCAATTTCGGTAAAAAGGGTTCACATGAGAATCTTCAAAATTATTCTTCAATAATCACAATAATAAAAATGAA